GTATATGCTATATGTGAGCAGGAGAAATTTGTTTCCTTTGATCTTATGGTATTAATATTGCTGGTTTGTTTTGCTCCTAGCTCTTACGGTGTCTTCACTGAATGTTTCAATAAAAAAAACATTTCCAATAAAACCTCTGTGAAGCATCAGTATAAGAGACCATCATTCAGCCAGGGATGCTACACTAATCACCACAGATATGCTAGCTAGCATTCATCTAGTGAGTGTAGTCTGTCAGATCACCGTTTACCTCTTAACAGCGAGTGAGAAGCGTCCACGTCTATTTACTCCGGAAAAGGCTGTAAAACTATGTGAAACAAGTCGAATACGAGTCAGTGAGTCAGTGAAGCTAACTTCTCTCCAGTGACAGCAATACAGAGATGAGTTGTTGAACCCTTAAACAGTAAGCACTTGTGTATTTAGCGCTGTTAGCCCCTGTTAGTGAAACTTTCTCTGAAGTGGAGCTAACATTGTTGGACTCTGACACTTAGTGAATAACCTATCATAGGATGTGAGAGTGTAATCAAACTGTTTATCAAGGGAAAGGTGAGATTTTTAGGACATTCAAATCGAACATTAGCTAGCATTATGTTAGCTTATAACCAGCTGTTGTTGTTTAGCCGGCTTGTTCTCAGCCACCCAGAGTCTAATCTCCTGAAAATGAGTGATTGGAATAATTGGAATAAATAAGCTTGTTTTTGCATATTTTCATGAGTTAGAGTCTTGACTTCAGTTGAAGAAATGAGGCTCAAGGTAACCAGGAAGAGCAGTAGACACAAGAGGAGAGAGGGTCGTGGTGGAGGAGACAGATGCTCGAGTGGAAAAGGAGATAATAATAGATGATGAAATGTACTAATCTTAAATGTTCTGAATAGCTTAAAAAAATACTTGTCATCTTTAAATTAAATTATTAATGTAGAATTGACCCTTTAGAGCAGGTTTTGTTTTTTCGTTAGTTATATTTTGTTGTTTAACATGCTACACCCCATTAGAATCATATTATAATTTTCTAGATTTTTTAGAACATTTTACACATATTTTTGAGATGTTGGTGAATTTTAAATAAATAGCTGATAACAAACACATCTTGTTCTGAGCTAAAATCACCAAAAAGGTCAAGCTCAGTCAATCAAGTAGTCTCCAGTTTCATCCTTGTGGCCACATATAACGTCTGACACACTGAATTGCATTACAACATGCCAATAAATTGGTACCACTGTATCGCTGGTCAAAATGAAATGCAATTTGATTTCTGCTTGCTGAGATGCAGCCAAATGTAAAGGGTTAACGACACGGTCGGCGATGCCTCACTTTCCACAACACTGCATGATGGGTAAACGACACCCCCCACAGAGTCTGACAGTAGCTCGCAGCGGTCCGTCACCTCATGTCCACTCTCAGTGGGACGCCTCACACTTGTGATGTTATGAGATATTCACACAAAACCCACAAGCCTGCACAGACCTGTGTATGGCTTGTCCCACTGATCTGACTGCATATTAAGTGGAATGATAAAATAAGAGTGGCCCCATCTGGTAAATAGGACACTGACTTACAAATGCTGCTGAAAAGACGAGGCACATTTAGAGGTGAATAAATTATTGTTATTTTTGTGCGTTGAAATGATTTTGCTTCCTCTATGGGACAGAAATTCACAAATTAAACAAAATTTTATTCAAAAGATGATATTGTTGGAACTTAATGGACCATTAGTAAGTCATGAACGTGGGTACTGTGGTGTCCCCCGGTGTCACTAAATTTGTATTTATCTGCATCTGCTTAAACTCCTGCTCAAACAACAAGGCTTGTTGATAGCTACAGTGCCCAACTGTTTTAGGATGTTAATTTAAAATAAATTAATTGTGTTTTGTATATGCACCGTTTGAATAGGGCTGCATTAAGCCCAAAAACGACACACCAACTGTAAAAAACAGTGGATTTAATACCCTGCTGTGTTACCCAAGTATTGAGAGAATGATGTACGCTGCATAGTTTCTCTAGGTAACATGACCTTTAACCTGGAAAAAGAGACAAAAGTCGCATACTGTTTTTCTTTACCAGGTCTAGTGGACCAAGGACTGTTTTTTCTTTCTTTTTTTCAGAGAATTTTTCCACTGATTTCAGCAGTAACCTCCTAAAAGGATTGTTTAGTGGGACAAGTTTCAGAATTTGTTTGGATGGAAACTCCTCATGAGAAAGGTTGGTAATTCATTGTATTCAAATAGAAGTTTTAAGCACCGGAAAAGGTTCATTGTGCATCTGGCAGCAATATACAGCTGAAGGTGCTTTTTCTCCTCTCAAGGAGAGCAAACTTTCGAAAGGGAAGGGGAAATGGAAGTGGAGCACAGAGATTGATTTGACTGCAAATGATTTTGACTCTGATGAAGACAAAGTGGTGCTGGAATGATGGTCTGTTTGCACTATTAACGCTGCATCAGTCAGCATGCTCCGGTCGCTCAGTGCTCTAAGTGTTCAGCTGGACGAGGTAGAAAAGCACATGTGCCATAAAACTCTACTTATGTGATATATATCCAATTAGTTATTGTCCAGTGTTGGCTATTTGAAATTAAGTAAGCGTAATAGCCCTGCACTTTTATTGGATGGCATTACCTTCTAAGGTGTTCCTGTCATTTTAACCTGTTTCCCCTGAAGCAGGAGTGCAAATCAAAGCCTGAGCCTGAATGTTTATCTACTCAGTGTGTAACGCCGTAATGTGGCCCACGCTTCAGAACCAGCCTCACTGTATGGCAGATATGAGGCGGAAACAGTCATGCGTTACATTACCCCTGTCCACTGTCGCAAGCTTCTGTTACAGAGCAATCTATAAGTACTTAGCTGCTAAGAAAATTAGCCGCTCCATCGGCTAGAGAATGAAGAAATCATTGCAGAGTCCGGTATGCTCCTGTGCGCCTGTGTAATTGTATTTCTAACAAATGTGCTTGCAAAGTAGGGGGCTCCAGACCTTTTTCTACTTCCATCTCCTCCTCCTCCTCCTCCTCCTCCTCCTCCTTCCTCTTAACTAAAACCCCCTTAACAAGCGAGCGCAAGCTAGCCGTGCACCAGGGCCATGCCAGCGCACCGCAGCCAACCTCATTACCGTTTGATTATGCGAAATCAGCAGAGAGGAGCGAGAGAATCAAAGCTAACCGCTGGAGATGAGTGAGTTGTACAGTAAGTGTCCCTGCCCCACTGGATTGGTCGGGAGAAAGATTAGAGGACTTGCTCCCTGAGACTCACAGAGATCAAATTCTCTCCGTTTGCCTCCCTCTTGGGTGTCAAAAATGAGTTTCGGTGATGAGACAAGATGTCAAGGTCTATCCTGGAGTTGCTGTTGGGGATGTGAGAAGAGCAGGGTTTTTTTGGGGGGGGGTTTTGAGTAAGCTTGGAAAAATAAGGAAGATCCTTGCTAGGATAGGCATACAGAATTCTGGGACCCTGGCAGAGAGGAGTGGGTTAAAACACCATCATTTATATTCAAGGACAGCTGCAGCCTAAGAGTGGGTGAAAAATTGACGCGGGGGCTTTACCTCGTCTCATCCTCACTTTTTTGTTCAGGCTGAAAAGATGCCTCTGTGCCCGCCGTTGCAGTCCCCGGCAGAGGCTGAAATGATGTTTAGGGGACTGAATACAGAGGCGACAAAAAGGGCGACAAAAAAATGACAGGGCGGTGTGCATGTATTCATACACAAATAGGAGCACAAACACAAGCAAAGATACACACACATTCATTCACAGACACACACACTCACAGCAGCCATCAGTGCTGTGCAAGATAACAAGACCATACTGAGGATGACCGGAGGGGTGGGGAGACAGGAAAGGATGAGTGAAAGAGTAAGAAAGTGGTCACGCTCGGCTTACTTTTGCCATGTAGCTGCCCTATCTCCCTGCCGCACTGACCCTCTACACGACAAGCTCCACGTCTTATCAGCGCTTTCCTCGGTCCCTTGGTCTTTCTCCCCTGGCGCCGTGCGGGAACGTGATGCCGGAAAAACGCAAACGCCAGATATAGGTTGAGTCATAGAGCGGCACTATCAGCTTCGGACACGGACCCTGTTAGCCTGCAGTCATCAAGCAGTTCAAGGTGTGATTTAAAACCGCGGACTGTTCTTTCCCTCAGGCGTGTATAGAGAGACATATGTTCATAAAGCCCACACACACACTTCAGTATCCCTGAAGAAAACACATGCCCACTTCATTTATGAGCTTGCCTAAGTGCGGCCTTTAATTGAAGTGCTGCTGCAGGTAAAAAGTGCATTTATATGCATTTCTTTAGCCAAAAGCAACTGGCTGTAACACCTGCACACAAACAGAAACGCACACACTCACACATAATGGCAACAGTGGATATTGAAGGTGACAGGGGCCTTATCCGCTTAATCCAAATTTACATACACCACTTCCGTTTGGTATTCCATCAAAAGCACTGAACCCCCACCTTCCCCCATGCAAAAAACCCCCAACACTGGGCTTTGTGTCGGACTGATACAAACATGGTTTTGACCCGAGATCCAAAACTGCCAAAAACTAAATAAAAATGCAAAAACAGGAAAGAAAAAAATTACATTTTTCAGTAGATCTCAACAATAGCAAAAATGTGCAGGGTTGTGGGTTTAGGAAAAACAAACAAACAAAAAAAAACCTTTTTGGTGTGTATTTTTATAGCTGTATCTTTGAGTTTAGCTAAATTTGTAGTTGTGTGTTTGTGATGGCGGTGTCCACAACCACACACCTGAAATTCAGTGATATTTATTCACATTCATATAAATCAGACACAGATTTAAGGTTTTACCCTCCCTCCTCATTTTCATGTGTATGTTTTACAAAGTTACATAGCAAACAGTTGCTTTAATTAATGTGGATATTTTGTTTTCATATAAGTTATCACACTACACTTTTGTCACTGATTTTTAGGTTACATTAATTTTTCTCTGTTTTCAGGAGTTACCTGTCTGCTGTTCCAGTCCTTCCTGGTTTAAACAAAAGAGGAGGCTGAGGGGTGGAGGTGGTTTAAATACAGAGGCCAACTAAATGGGCTTAACTCAATTTACGAGGCCAACCATATGGTTATTTTCCATCTTTGCCCTCAAAATGGTTTATTCAGCTAGTTTATCCTGGGTCCAGCTGTCTCTTATTGGAGTAGGTCTTGTTCAAATCTTGTTTCGCTAAGCAATTTTTTGTGTTGAGTTTTGCTTAACTGACCTTTCATCTTTTACTTTCACGTGTATTTCTTGATATTAACTTTTTTTCAGTATAAGAAAACCCACATACTGAATTTTATACCTGTTATTAGAGCATTAAATATTTAGTTTTGCCATTTTAAAAAAAGGAAATGCTGTGTAAGCCTATTTTATATATTTAAATATGCCACCATTCATTGACATAATGAAACAACATAAGGGTTGTAGCAAAATAGTCCATCCATCCTTTGGCTTTCTGACATTTATCATGTTGCGAGGCTGTCACGCGTCAACAATCTGTCCTGCGTCGTGGTTCCAGCGGTATCCGGTGAGCTCTCGCTGGCCCTTGGAAATTTTAGGGGTGAAGGTGTTTGTCTTCAAGGTGAAAAGCTTCTGGCATGTTACCTCAGGGCAGCTAAAGGAAGTCAGCAGGCCAAATCCATCACTGCGGGATAAAGATTGTTGCTAAGGGCTGGGCTGGTTGGGTTGGGGTAAGAAATGGGGCTTGGGGGGGCAGTCATCTTGTTGCTTTCCTCTCTGTCTGCCACTGGTGCATGGCCTTCCTTGTAGAGACCATGTCTGTGGTGCTTAGCAAGTCACATGACCTGGGTTTTCATTAGGCAGTGTCCACCACCAGCGGCGGCTCTGGACCCTGTTTACAGATCACCTCAGCTGTGATACCCATCTCATGGCCAGCCGGCATCCGGCAACTGACTTAGAACTGGTGCGGACCAGGGGAGTCCCACTGTTTAATTAAAACAAAGCATTGCGAAGGCCCATGGTGGGTGTTGACACCATGTGATTTCTGCCCAGTTCCCTGAATGTCAGAATAGATGATAACCTCAATTGTACACATTGTCTGCATCTCATATATCCTCTTTGTGGCAAAACCGGAAAAAATTCTAAGTACAGGGAACCTCAGATTGAGATTCAAGAAGGGTTTTTTTGCAGACCACACTGTGCAACACAGCTTAAATAAACCTGAGTGTAACATCAGATCTCATACATGTGGACTGTGCAAAAATACTGCTAATACTGATTTGTAGGCTACATGCAGGTGCACTTCCTCTGTTATTTCTTTCAGTTGGATGACCCATTTCGGTGGGGTCAAGGCAACGGCTGGAGTACACCTCACTCTGCATTCCTAGTAGTCGGTTAGTAGATGCGGGATAAGGCAGCAGTCACACTGTGAGATGATCGCTGTACATTTTTGATATTGTTAGAATTTGGTCCCAGGCTGTCTTTAAACCACCAGTTGTGGGATGTGTTGGTTGTTTCCCAGGGTTTTGAGTTAATTGAGATTCCATGTTCTTACGTCTGTTGCCTGTTTGAGGTTTTAATTTTCCTTTACACTCCAGGACATTTAGTCTGTGGTCCGTATTGTATTTCACTTCCAGCTATTTTTAGTGTTTAATAACTTCTATCCCTCCGTTCGAGTCTTACCTCTGTAGCAGCTTCAGGTTTACTTCCTGCTTTATTTATTGCGTGTCTTGCTTTGTGTTTTACTTCTGCCTACAGCTATCTTGATTGTCAGCACACACTCATTTCTGTCCTGCGTCCACTTCCTCTGATTAGCCATCTGTGTGTGTATGCGGTCTCCATTTAGTTCTTTGTCTGTTTATCTGCCCTCACGTGCTCCCTCACGTGCTCCCTGGTTTGCTTCCTCTGGGCTCTGTGTGGTGAAGCAAGTTCAGCCTATGCAGTCATCTGAATACATTTATCTTAAAATCAGGTTAAGCTGGTTATCGACTCACTCAGGCAACCCATGCGTTATCAATCGTGCTACGAGTGCATTCGCATGAAAGGGGAGGCATTTTCTCTTGCAAAATTTCAACAATGTAAGTTGAAATACTTTTCAGGAGTACAGCACTATCATTAAGACTCAGGAGAATTCAATGGATTATAATCGAGTTTTGTGGTTATTTTCTGTCATCTACAACCCCATTGGTGATTAAGAGTTGGAGAGCAAGTAAACTAAATATGAAAACAAAATTCACATGTAGGGTTAGTTATTTTTAAGGATCTTGTATTAAAGCTTATAGCACAAAAACATTCTAAAATTGTTTGCCTGAACAGGGATAAAAATTACAGTATAACATTGCATCGATGAAATCAATCAGGGAAAGTCAATACATTAGACACAACTGAAAAACATTAGACCCTCGCACTATTCATGTAGAAGGGTCCTAGGGATGTTCCAGGAATGGTCGCACTATTTTCTTTTCTTCTTGGAAAATTGATTGTTGATTTCATACCTGCAGAGCTAATCTGTTCCAAAGCAGGTTAGGTCAACAGCATATGTTACCATAGCAATGTACCCCAATAAGAGGTGAACTGCCTTCGTCGTATAGAAAACAAAGAGTTAACCTGGAAGTCACCTGATAAGATCAAAGACCTTCTTACAGGCTTAGGATTGTGGATGTTTTATTCTGTTTGGAATTTCAACCTAACTTTACCGCTCTTACTAAGCCACATAAGTCTGTCGTTTTGGAATCATCTTGACTATGACACATGATAGGCTCCAGTCCCAAACATGTGCGAGTTTTTATTTTATTATTACAAGTCAAACATCTCACCCATTTGGTTTCATCGCTGGATAACACAACTCCAACTCTAATGTCTTCCCAACAACCCCAGGTATGTTGCATCAGTGGAAGACTAATAGGCATTTCCCCTAATGACACTCTATTCAAAAGCAATCCAGGGTTTCATCAACATGGAGTTGATGAAAATGCTCACTGCTCTTGCAACAAGAGGAAAGTTTTCTATTTCGAGGATCTATGATTCAAAGTGCTTGGCACACTGGCCTAGCTGAAAACCAAATACCACTGTTTACATTATCGCTAAGAACACTCTGTTGGGTTATTTTAGTCTCAGCGTGAGTGTATCAATAATGTGTTAAAGCTGTTAGTGATGCTGTAACAAATGTGGTTTGCGCTTTTAAATAGCACATTGTCCCCATCTGTCATTAACAAATGCACAGATCTTGGCATGAATTATTTGGTGTCCCTAGTAGCCCTCCTTGGGATGTGCAGAGGGGGGTGTTGCTAAATCAATAGCCATAAGGAGTCTAGCTCCCGTTTGCTTTCAAGATCTACAGCCAAAGGACCCAGTCATCAAAAGTTAATGAGCTATTTAGATCATGCTGTTTCCTCAGCCCTCGACTGAGAAAACACTGCTGGACTAGGGAGCAAAGAGCCCCCACGAATGTGTGTGCTTATGTTTTATATGCTTCATGTCTCTCCTATAGATCAACAGAGAGAGATTGGCAGCTGAAAAAGAACAAAGCAGTGGAAATGGTTATCATGCCTGTGCAGTTGTTCTTGCATTGTTTGGTGCAAATGCTTGACAGTGGTTGCAACCCTTTTGATGGGCAGTAATGTGAAAACAAAGCTTCTTTTTGACTCTGTTGTAATGCTATTGTTGGGCTATTCAGGCACCGCAGCAGCCGCATTATTTGGCTCTAGTGGTCAGTGCCAAATGGCCAAATAGGAACGATGAACATACAGTACATGTTTTAACTAGCAATTAACAATAATGAGTTTTGTTTTGTGTATTTAAAAAAAAAAAAAAAACTACATCCATGTTATCCACATTTGTCTGTCTCTAGGCTGGTCCAAACAATGGGCAGGAGGCTAAACCCACTGAAAACAGGGGTACCATTTCTAACTTCTAATTACGTGGGCGTCCTACAGCCCACCTCCAGAGTCTGGCACCATCCACCCTTAATGTGGTTAGAAAAACAATAAAGTGTAATGTGTTGTGATTGTTCTCTCCCCCCTTTTGTTCTTAGAGTTTTCAGAACGCCGTCCTGCATTTGAATGTATATCATTTGTGCTGCTGTAATTCTGTGTAGAACTTGAGTCTTGCTGTGAAGGCTGTAATTCAGCATGTCGAAACCTTTATAAAGCTGCTTCCTATAGATTGGAACAAATTATTGTTATTACGTTGGTTTAGTCAAGTTGTCATGCATTTTTGTCAGGAATCATGCACAAAAAGTCATCTCAGGGATCCCAGGACTGAATGGAAACTGGGCTGCTATAAACTCCAGTCTTTTTCCACCCGAGCTTCCCATCCAAGCATTATATCCTGTCCTATCCAGTTGTGTTATCAGCAATTGCATGGCTGTTATCGGTCCTTGGATAGCCTCCCATAACTACTGCGATGTTATCCTATTCACAAGAGGTCGTTTCACCCTGCTGAACTGAAGTAATGCACTTCCACACTTCAGTGTTACTACAAGTGATACTGTGCAACATTCTTTATATTTTGTTTTCAAGCAGCTACACTTTCCTGTAATGTTATAATAGTAGTCTTTAAAAACAGCTCTCCAGGCTTTCTGAAGGTCATTCAAAGTGTTTCCTTGATTGATTTATCCCACATTTTCAGTCCAGTCCTTTTTCAGACAAATATTGTTTGTTTGTTAAGCCACTTAACACTGACTATAAGTCATACAAATGTCTCCTACTGTCACTCAAGGAATGAACCAATGTTTTGCTTACATATAACAGATAACTTTTTGGCCAGTGGTGTTGGTGTTGTGGTGTTGTTAATACTGATGGAATTATGAATGATGCACATTTGATTTTGATGGAATACTATCTGGAAAGCATCTCATTGGGATCAATTTATTTTTTCACTATGACAGTGATCCTTGTTTCTTGTTGTTTTGGAAAATTCTTGCTGTGATTCATGATTTGAATCCAAGCAATAATTCTTATTATATTATTATTATTAGTCCCACTCCTCATTTTTTACTCTCGTTAGTTACATGTCTTTTTTTAACCTCTCTTTCTTCACAACCTCTTCTCTGTATATTATGCTTTTTTTTATCTTCTATTATCCTCATTTTCTGAATTCTCTGCCATGTTTCTTCACCTGAAGTCAGTTAACAAGGCCTGAAGCAGATCCGCTAACTTGTCACCTAGGAATCCTCCCATGTTCCCTCACTGGCTGTTTCCTGGCTGCTAGCCTAGTTAAAGGGTTTGTACATAAATGTTGCAGGCAAGAAGTTACTGCTGTCCAAATTCCCTCGAGGACAGTCAGAGAATAGGAAGGGCTCCCTATTACCAAGACCACAAAATGTGTGTATGGGCACCAAGAAGGTAGGATGTGATCATTAAGAATTAACCTTAACCCCAGTGCAGCTATTCTGAAGGCTTGTGGAACGAACCCCAACAGATTTCTAAAATTTTTGTATCTCTCTCTCTCTCTCTCTCTCTAACAGAAAGTAGCCAGCAATTCCCTATCCACATGGTGAATATCATCACCGTGGGAGGAAGGTGTGATGTACACCAAACTTTTGGACAGAACTGCTAAAAAAATTTGACCACAGTGCCAGTCAAGCGGCAATGAGGGAATGAATCAAACTGAGGTGAGTGGAGCAAAGCATTGATTTTCAGGATGTTCCCAGTGGAGGAGGTTTTATCTGTTGTGTTCTCCACAGATGCACATTAACCTCCAGCTCTCCGAAATACTCCCAAACCCCCTGAGGACTCAAACCTCACCTGTGGCGATTAATTGGTCAACCTCTACATTGCCCTGCCTCTGCCAGTCTGCCCAGCCAGTTCTCCATTCGTCTCCCTCTGTCTGCCTGTCAGCTTTGATTCCTCCCCTTCTCCAGCAGTTTTCCCACAAAACACTAATCCTGTAGCTTGAGAATCAGGCGCCAGAGGTTCAGCGAGTGAAAGAGATTGAGGATGAACTTTGGCTTACTGTCAGGCTTGGCAACACTTCTACATAAAACCTCCAAGAGAAGGCATACTGATCAGTGATCACTTGTTGAAGCACATTACTTTTACATTTTAAAGTGAATAGAATTCAACTTTTTGTAGTAACACACAATTAAACTCACACTGTACACACAAACATGAAATGACTATATAAAGAGCATAAAAACCATACAATCTTTTCTATAAGAGAACATTCAAAAAGGTGTGATGTGAGAAAATACACCTTAAAAATTACAGAGTGTCTGGAAAACTCTGAGAAGCCTGCAGAATTGTCCGTGACATGAATGAGTAACATGGCTGTTATTCAGTTCGGAGCTTAGCAGATCATCTAGCTAGTAAAATGTAGCAGGCCATTTTTCAAAGAAGGACATTTTGACTCGCCAGCAGGATATAATAAAAGCAGTGGTTCCCATTTAGCTCCTTTGATTGCAGGGTTAGGAGAAAAATCAAAGTTGTTTCATTTAATAATGTAAACTTAATGTGTCTCATCATAATTTCAAGGATGTTGTGTTTAGACTGTGATTATTTTGAATGTGTCGAGTGGTTTCCAGTGTTCACGAGAAAAATTTTAGTCATGACTATGAGCCTCCTGTGGTTATTAATGACTCCCAGTCACTGTTTGTGTTCAGATCTTAAATAAAAACCAATTCCAGTGTCGCTGTGCGGTGTATGGGGCACATAAATCCAACAGCATTCTCTGTCGCTTAACACATAATATAAATATTATAAAGATGTATTTCTGTACAGGATGTACCATGCCTCTTGCCCTGTGGTAGCTGGGATAGGCTCTGATCCCACCATGTCCCTGAATTTGATAAGCAGGTAAAAACAGATGGATGGATGAAATGATACGTAAAGTGTATTTAATTTAAAATTGCTTAAAGATGCTTTACTATGGTACAGTGTACTATTAAGTTCTTATGAATTATTAAACCTAAGTACTGCACACTTAAAATCAGTCAGCATGCTTAGTGCTGTTACTTTTTATGACAATTAGTTTAGCCATCTTATCAAGTTTTTCAAGTGCAGCTGCTTAAAATCAATCATTCAATGAACTCTACAATCTGGAATTCCACATTGCGGACATGTGAAAAGGAAGGTTTTCACAGGCCTACACACTGCTAACTGATCATTAACAAGTGTGAGCACCTCTATAAAAGCTGAAGTTTTGGTAGTTTGCTTTGGTAGTTTCTCTGAAGAATTTAGGTGTGTGTTAACACACAGCCACAATCTTCCAAGGAGTGAGCGTCCCAGTACATTCACCCCAAGATCAATCTGTGCAATGCACAACGAAACTTTAAAAAACAAAGGCAACATCAGCATGGCTTGTTTGGAAGTGTTTCCAGAAGAAAACCTCTTTTCACTCAAAACTCTTCACACTGGGAATAATGTCCAAACATACAAATCAAAGTGGAGATTTTTGGCCACAAAACACAGCATATCAGTTTTTTTTTACGACTGTATATTAACCCTTTAAAACCGGTCAGAGCAGGCACGCTCCGTTTTGCGCAACTACTTTAAAATCCCGGTAGCTCTGCAACCACATGAGCTAGCGGGATAATATTTTTTGCATATGAAACCGGACAAGTTGTACTTACATCTTATGCCATCAGCTTGTCCTAGGTCACGGTTTCCTTCCACATATAGCTTTGCAAAAACTGCATAAAAAGCACTTGCAGCAACAAAAACATAATATTCCAGAAACACGCTGTGCCGTTCCGATCAGCTATTTGTAACACTTCCTATTTGGAATAGATGTCAGCGCGAACTATCGCATGTCCGCCATGACCTGCCCGAAACCGGAAGTGACGTCATTTTTGCGGATATGTAGTTTTTTTACCATCAGGGCCTCATGAGCTTATACTGGTGCTTTTAAAAGTTGTGTTTGACTTTATGACTTTCTGTATCTTTCTGGATGCTTAGAACTAAAATTGCACTGCTGGAAATAGTTTATTTTGATGCTTATGCTGCTTTTTTGTTGCAAATTTACATTATAATATTTATTTTCGTTTTTCCTGCAGTATATAAAAATTGGTGTATTTCAAAAATAAAACTATGAAGACACTCAAAATAAATGTCCTGTGGTGAGAAACTATTTTGTGCAGCTTTTTTGTATTTACAGTTTTGAGGGATGAGCCTCTTAAATACCTCTAACTAGAAATATATGTTAACAAAAACGATTTTCAATGTTTTTGTAGTTTATTGCCCTTTTTTGCAATTTATGTAATTACTGTATACTTAATGCAGAGATATTATTAAAATTTAGGCTGTAATGGTTGTATTGATGTATAGCAACTTGAAATGCTCCCAAAAATGGCACTACAGCATGTAAAAATATAATATAAGCTCTGGTGGACTTGGTTCTATGGTAGGTCTTAAAGGGTTAATGATAGAGCAGCAGTTATAGCTACACTTGTCATTTTTGTCATAGTTCACCCAAAGTATGTAAAAATGCGCTAATTTATGATATAAATGCTTTTCTTTTTCAGTGTTGAGAGATATCCAATTCATAACATATATTTATCTGGAAATTGCAATAATGAGGTGTCCTTGGTCTTAAATGTGGTGCAGATGTTCTGCCATTTGTTTATGTGACAGAGATAATTACAAACAGCCGGTGCGTAACTCAGTGGTATATTGAAATAGTGTCCAAAATGCATCAACAGCTGCCTGCTCTTGTTCTCTCGTGAGTCCACTATATAGTAATATATTAGATGAGTGAGTGAACAAGTGGACAATTCAAACACAGCCTGGGATACTTGAACAGAACAGAGCCAGCCTTAATTAACACAGTTAGTAACACCTGTGGTGTGACGTTTGACAAGTCAAACATCTGCTGTGACAAAGACCATTAAAGGCTCTTTGGAAAAGAAGAGATACATAATCCAGTTAATGGTCATTGTATGTCTTTTTATAAAAAATAATAATTAAACTGGCTGCTTGTGTTATAGTTTGTGTTGTTTTACGTTTTGGCCTGAAGTTTTTGTTCAAAGCAACAGAGTAAGAGTCAGTCTTATAGCATAAACAATCAGAAAACAATCCCAACACTACTAAGCAATAACAACTCTGACAACATGACAGCATTTCTGTAATTAGCTAAAATCTACTTATACATGGGTATTTCAATAAATGTAACTTTTTTGATGTATTGAGGGTCTTTGTAAACAAATAAAAGGGATTTTTAAGTCTACATCTTCAAGGTGTAGACTTTAGTTGGCTAGTTTATGTGCATACCGATGGTAAATGGTACAAGAATTCATCTTTTAATGTCAAAGCTGTGCACCTATGTGTCTTTTTTGTTGTCAGACTGTGCTGCCTGTTTTTATTTTATGTGTTCTGATTGGCCAGCATTTCTATACAGTTAGAGTTATATTGCCATGTGTTAATTTGATATACTCTTAATAGCGTTTGGCATTGTTTTTTGCCTTTTAATGTTCACTCAGATATTAAAAAAGGTGAAAATCCCCATTTAAAAAAACATGTGTGGCTGTAGCTGAAATGAATGGCAAGTACACCGGGGTTTAAAATTTGGCTCTGGGGACTTCTGCTTAAGTTGATCAAATACCAAAAGAGAGGCGCTTGAGGCAAGTTTTTCCTTTTCATTAATTATATCTTGAAGTTTGAAATGTTATGATAATCACATGAAGGTGTAAATGTAGATGGGAGAGAGAGGAAGAAGACAAATACACAGTCTGCACACACAACCTTGAAAGGTGTTCTCAACCAAAGAAACAATTGACTGTATGAATAATTACTTTCTTTTTTAAGGAGATAACAGAAACTCTATTTAATTTTAACAGAATACAGTAATTAGCAGTTAAATTTGCTATCAGTTTTGAACTACTTGGGGGGAAAAAAAAAGCCTTGACAGGCTGAGGCCCACTCGGGATGTTCATCGGTCACTGATGAGTGCTCTCCACAGGACCGAAGCAACAGCCACTGAATTATTGAACATAGCAGGGTCCCTAAGGTGAGGCGCTGCATGGAAGTCTTCAGTCTTTGGGCCTGACAAAGAGAGAAGAAGGCTTGATGAAACATGGTGAGATGCTTACAAGCCATCCGTCACGCTACCTCCCCGGCCACATAGAGGCAGGATTGGATTTCCGGCCAGGGGGATTTGTCGTGTCAGACGGGGGAGCGGGGATTGAGCAATACTTCAACAAAGAATAGTCGTGATTGTTTCCAAAGTTTTCTAAATCTTCATGAATTAAATATTTTTCTGTATGAAAATCTAATACATCTGTCAGTTTTCCCCATCTGTATTTGCTTTTATGCGGTACATGTATATGAAGCGTGCATATGTTCATGTGGGTATGTCTTTTATGAAATGCATACATGGGTAAGTTACGCGTCGGCGCCTGTGAGGCTTGTGCCCAACCCAGGGCACAAGTCGTAATACTATCAAAGCTCTCCTGCTGAGCACCTGGTTTATTATTATTATATATCCCTGAACCTCAAGCTGCATATGAAACCTGATAACAAGCACAACCTCATATTTATGTTCAGACTTATATCATACACACTGAGCTGACAAGCAAACTATGCAAGATGTTATAAATTAGGACTAAAGGTGCAATATGTAAGGTTCTTAGTTAAGAAAGGTCAAATAGAAGCGTAAAAAAATCTATAGCGCTGTTAAAAAGTATGTGTATCTCCTTTCCTGATTTCTCATTTATTGTTCATATTTATCACACTTGCATGTTTCAGGTCGTCAAACTAATTTTAATATTGGGCGTCCATGGGAGAGTTCAAGGAGAAAACCACTGCTGACCTAAAAGAACACAAAGGCTCATCTCACATTTACCAGAATGGTACACAGTAAATGCACTGATTCTTATATGGCACTTTTCTACTCTCCCAGAGCACTCAAAGCACTTACAGCATGCCTCATTTACCTGTGCTTAAGTGCTTTCTATCTAACATTCACACTTCTATGGATGCATTGTAGAACAACTTGGGGTTAGTATCTGGCATATTTGGCATGGGGACTGAAGCAGCCAGGCATTAAACCACCAACCTTTAGAATAGTAGAAGACCTGCTTGATGACATCTTGATGACAAAAGATGAACCTTTTGGAAGGTTTGAGTCCTGTTACATCTGACATAAAACTAACAGCATTTCATTAGAAAATAAATAAAAAGATCATCACAGCAACAGTCAAACGTGGTGGTGGTAGTGTGATGGTCTGGGGCTGCTTTGCTGCTTCAGGACGATTTGCTGCAATTGATGAAACTATGAATTCTGCTCTCTACCAGAAAATCCTGAAGGAGGATGTCCGGCCATCAGTTCATGCCCTGAAGCTCAAGAGCACTTGGGTTATGCAACATTTCTGCACTCTAGGAAGGGAAGTCTGTGAAGGGCAGTAAGTATTGATGCAATGCAGTCAGTTCAGTAGCATTTTGAATTAGCTACAGTTCTTTGAGGTTTTTCTTGCCAACAGATCAAAGAGGACACATTTACTGACAGTAATGAAAACAAACACTTCTTCTGCACCTTTAAAGTTATATAACAATCTATTTATTGCACAATTATTATTTTTTGATGAACAAGGCATCTGTCTGTAGTCCCACAATTCACAAGAATCGCTACTCCTTATTTTAATGAAACTTAGACATGGTGATCACATAATGGGTCTTGGCTCAAACTGCACATAAGG